TGGATTCATGACCCTCACTCGACGGCATCTACGGCAACTGGCCCTATAATCGGCACTGGCATTCACCGAAGTTACAGTGAGTCACACATTTATCTTCGCGTAGTTGCCTCAGCTCTCCTTATTGACAAAATTCTTAGTGGATGTATACCGCAAGCTCGCCATCATCCCCTGGTACGACCCAGTCACCGCGCCCGAAAGACACTCCTTTGATACCACACCACCCTTCCGCGTCGTATTCCACATCTACAAGCCCTCAACTCCCATCAAAAAGTCCGCGCTTCCCACTCCAGACTTCCGCATCGCGGTCGTCAGCACACGCGATCAAACTACCATGCCCACTATGACACAACTTGGTGCTTTGCTCGAAAGCACGCCACTTGACCCTCCGCGTGGGGAGAAAATGGACCGTATGATGTACATGAGACTACGACATGGATACCGCAATGTCGTCATGGCTGTTGTCGATCAGGGTGTGGTCAGTTACTTGCGAATTGCTGATTCGGCGTTCGGGAAGGAGAAGCTTTATGAGAACAAGGGTGGACCTCAAGGTCATAAGCGAAATTATGCGAACCAGAAGTCGAGGAAACGTTGAGAAACGAGGGTTCTCAATTCATGTCTTGGCCGATTACAAGTCCGTTGCTGGAGTGAAGGCAGCAATAGCCTGCAGCGGCAATGTCGTTTGTGTATTAGGATCGTGCACATACTATGGATCTGGCCCATATATCCACCTCATATCATCTCTATTCGGTGGTGGATCACAGCGAGAGCTGAAAATGCTCTCTGCAGTGGTTGAAGAATTGTGGTTCTTCTTACGAAGATATCCTACACTGGTCACCGCACTTCAACAGACACCTCTCGTTTTGAGCTCGGTCTGGCTACATATTGGAGTGAAGATCTATATACTGTTTCAGTATTTCCACTGGAAGAAGGACCCGAGCTCATCAGTCAGTACATATCTTCTGGGCCATTTAAGTACCAAGGAATTTACATAGTCGGATACTACTCATCAAGATCTACAAACCACAATATCACTGAATCATAAATCATAACATTCTCTGAGTAACATTCCCCCGAATTCGACGAGTACCTGGAGTCTTGCATACCATGCAATCATCTAGCACATCCATAGCAAATAACATCCCCAAATCACAGCCTGTACATCTCGCTCTTACTCCTCGCCCCATCAAAGACACAAGTATTATCAAGCGGACCATACTGCCTAGTAATCACCTTCAATGCCTCCTGCGCAACCAAACCCCCCGTCAACGAAGAGATATTATGCAACTCGCCGCCCTCAGCCCGACGCAGTTCCTTAATCGCGCTGGCGATCTGCACACGCGCCTCCTGAGAAACCGCCGATCCATCCGCCGCAGTCAGCAGAGCTAGGATCCGTTCGGTGTGGCTGTTCCACAGCCCGTCGTCGTCAACAGAACGGTCCTCTTCGTGGCCGCTCGATTGGATCTCGTCCACGACCGAGTCGAGGATCTGCGTGGCGATGAATATCGGAATCAGGGTGTCCGGGACGTTGAGTTCGTTGCGGATGGTTTTCAGTGTTGACGCGTCGCTGTCGATGCTTATCTGCGGGATATCGCGGCCGAGCACGACTTTGATGTGTGCGGCGTTCTTGCAGGATACTTCGATATCTCGGTCTGGGATTGCGGGCGTTTGGCGTCTGAGATTAGATTCGAGCTGGCGTACTGTTGCTGTCACTTCTTCCACGTCTTGTCGCGCTTTGGCCTTGTAAATGTTTTGTAGTGAGACGTAGTCTGCAGACTGGGCTTTCATGTCTGGTAGGGAGCCTGGGAGGGGGAGGACGCCGTGAGACGCGTGGAAGGTTTTGATGGCCGAGGCAATGACCCAGAAATCTTGGGATGATGCTGACAGCTGTTGACACTGGTTCATGTCGAAAATCTCACGGATCGAGCTGCGTAGGCTGAATGGCGCGATTGTCTTAAGTACAGCAGCGACTGCCTCATCAAAGTTCTCTTCGCCGCCTTCTGGGTTAGAAGTGCGTGTCTGGGACCGCACAAACTCTCTGAACTCGGTTTTCTCTTTGTAGTTACTCGGTGCGTTGCCTTCGTGAGACTGTTTCCATTGCTCCAGGAAGTGAAGCAGGAGAAGTATGTAGGGCACATGGCCGTGCTGATGGTCATCCAAGGTGTCTAGGTTGTTCAGGTTGGCTGCAGCAGCAACAAGCTCAGGCCAGGGGTTTAGCAGACGCAGGTCCTGGGTTGATTCTGGGTCCGGATGTGTCTCAACAATGGGGAATTCAGCCGGCAATTGCACAGAGAAGGTGGCAAAGAACCCGACTGAGTGCAGGTACAGCACGGGGATACCTAACTGCTTTGCTTCCTGGGTCAGAGGTACCAGGGTCGAGCGTCTCATTGGACCGGAAATAATCACCAGCTTGTGCTGGGGCAAGAAATCAGGGTCTACAAGAAGCTCCTCGATGCGCTGTTTTATAAGTCAGTCAATGACCATCTACTTTTGGAGACATGGGAAATCATACCTTGAGATAGTAATGTCCCTCCACGTCTGGATTCAGTTCCTTCAGCAGTCGGCAAGTTTCCTCCGCACGGGACTTGCCCAGAGACTCTTCTTCCAGGAAGAAGTTCACGCCCAGATCAGACTCGGTGACTATTGCTGGATCGACGATGGTGAATCCACCAATTCCAGGCAGTACGAGGTTCTTGAGTGTTTCAACGCCAGCAACGCCGGTGACACCGGTGTTGTATTGACCGAGAGGGCCATCTGAGTTCACCAGCAGGACATGAGAGTCCTCAAGTGCTTGCTGACCAGTTGCTGCCCACAGGCGGAGCTGGCGATCATATTTGCGCTCCTTGGAGGTTGGCCCTGTCAGGGCGGCGGGGAAGGCATCCGTCATGGTGGATAGTAGTGCGGGGGAGGTGATAGAGCTTTGGTTTGAGGCTCAAAACATTGCCTGTTTATCGGTGTGTGATGCTTCTCGTGTTGCTTACAGTATTTGCTCTTTAATCATGCAAGTTCTTAAATGATGGAGCAGTGGATGTCGACTTGTTGATACGCGACTATATTTAGGTAAGCGCGTGTGGTGGCCTGATAATCCAGGCTGACACGAAGAGCCTCATTGGCATTGATATTGTTCTGAGGACGGTCTGTTCCATAGCTAGTTTATTGTATATAGACAGATTTCTGTCCGCTGCGAGGAAGATTACTCCCAGTCCATGACCAACTACTACGGCCCCTAGCTTGGAGTTCCTAGATGATGAAATGAGGTCATTGCCAGAGGGAAACAGATATAGCCAGCTTCCATGCTGCTAAGGATGTTTATTTGTGATTTACCCTTGCTTTGTCCATTGCTATAGTATTCAATGGAGTTTTACTTTATAAATGTAAATATATTGTGGCATTGTCGGTATAAAGAGTATACTATTCGGGTATTTGATCCGATGTGGACTTATACTTCCTTTTGTTCATACCACACGACTAATAATACTCGGTTATATTGCATATAACCTTGATCAATCGTATCAAATGACTAGGCCTAGATTTTATAGGAAAAAAATACCTGCAAGTGCTAAACCGCACAACTGTAACGTGACGTTATAGTGGCCATAAACTAAAGATAACTATAGATTCTATCTTTTGCTTAATTCCATTTTCTCTCTATTTACCCACCAATTCCGTTATAAAGCGCGTCTATAAAGAGGATTCCATGATCCAACCAGCCCTCATCTCCCCTCTTTTCCTCTGCCGTAGACTTACCCTCCCCACCATCCCCACACTACTTCGCAGCACTTTGCAAAGTCCTCAAAGACTCCAATCCACCATGTCCACCGTGTCCGCCGTCGAAGAAGCCAAGCGCGCCGCCGCAAAGGTCGCAGTCGAAAAACACTACCCCAAGAATGCCCGCTGGGTCGGTATCGGCAGTGGTACGACGATCGTGTACGTCGTCGAGGCCATCAAAAACCTGGGCGTCGACACCTCCGCTACAAAGTACATCCCAACCGGTTACCAGTCCAAGCAACTGATCGTCAAGGCCGGATTAACATCCGTTGAGTACGACACTATTCCTCTGGGAACAGTCCTCGACGTGGCGTTCGATGGTGCGGACGAGGTCGACGAGGACCTGAACTGCATCAAGGGCGGCGGTGCATGCTTGTTCCAGGAGAAGATCGTCGCTTTGCAGGCCAAGGAGTTTATCTGTGTTGCCGGTGAGTTTTGGTCTGATCTAATATGATTTTATTTGCATTTGCATTGTAGTTGCGGGGGTTTGGGATGCTCGGAAGTAGAGCCAACTTTTTTTTTTTTTTTTTCTTTCTTTCTTTGCTATAACCCCCAACTAACTCACGCTCGCAATCCTAGATCACCGCAAGCTCCAGTCCCGTCTCCTTACAAACTGGAAATCAATCCCCATCGAGGTTGCCCCGATCGCCGCCCACCGCGTTATCCTCAAGCTGCAGGAACTCGGCAGTATCAACCCGGCCATCCGGCCATCCGCGAGCGCCAAGGAAGGTCCCCTCAAGACCGATCAGGGTTTCTTCATTATCGATGCCCCCTTCAAGCCGTTGCTGATCAAGGCTGATATCGAGGCTGGCCAGGATGGTAGCGGCAAGGATGGTGTGTGGGAGGTTGGTACCTTGGCTCGCGAGATCAAGGAGATTACCGGTGTGCTTGAGGTCGGTGTTTTCCAAGGCAAAACCGGCCCGCAAGCTACTGCTGCCGGTGGTATTGGAGGTCAGCGGCCTGTCGCGGCCTACTTCGGTATGGCCGATGGAACGGTCGCTGTTCGCAAGGCCGATGTCTAGTGGTTGGACTAGACTACGTAAATAATGTAGATGATACCAGAATTTTCTTTTTTGTTAAATCTTGGGAAAAAAATGCCATGATTAGGATTGAACTAGTAAAAGCTTGCGATTGTGTTTTGGAATTTCTTTTTAATTGGGTTTCGTGTGTGGTATCAACATTGGAAAGACGCTTCATTTCAGTATGGAATCAAGAAAAGGCCATTTCGCCTGGACCTATTTTGCGCTCTTACTCTTGCCTTTGGCCTCCGTTTCGCCTAACTCCCGAACGTAAACCTTCACTGTGCCTTCGGGGACCTCGTCATGGCCGTCTTCGAATCCAGGACTGACTGCAATGGCCAGGTGCTGGCCACTCGCACTGAACGCGAGAGCTGCGACACTGTGTTGGTATTTCTGATATTGACGGATACGGCGCTTAGAGATTCCATCCCAGAGCGCAACAACACCATCACCACCGCCGGATGCAAAGGTGCCAAAGATAGGGTGGAAAGTCAATGCGTTGACAGGGTAGACGACATCCACGCCATCCTCGCCGGTCTGGCGGTGACATTTAAAAGCGTATTTGCGGGCCTGAGATTCAGGCGATGGGTCGAACCATTCGACCGCAACACGACCCTCAATGCTAGACGAGGCGTACCCAGCGTCATCAGGCATGCAGGCGACAGCGCGGGTCATGAACTTCAAGCTGCTCTCGCGGCGCTGCCAAGGCTCAATTTCAACTCGATTACTGCTTGGGTCGGCGCTATCTGCTTCTGCGGTGAGAAGGGCCAGCGCTTTGAGGTCATAGATGTGCAACGCGCGCGATGCCATCGCCACGACCAGCTTCGTGGCGGTTGCGGAGATTGAGAATGGCTTAGACGGGAGGGGAATGATAATCGGCAGGGAGTCGGGGTTTGCGCCAGTATCGGCTTGGTGAATGTGTAGTGTGGAGTCCCACGAGGCGGAGATGACGAGCCTGTGCTCGCGGCTGTATAGGACATGGCGCACGCCGGCTTCGTGGCTGCTGAGCACGGTCTGTTCGGAGGTGTTGAGATCGATCCTGATTAATTAGTATATTCCATGGATTACAAGCGGGGTGCTGATAGTAGCAGGACCCAATGGAAACAACTCACTTCCTCACGTCCCAATCCAGTCCAGCTGTGTAGATCTCATTCTCGGTCTCACCGAAGCAGACGTCCAGGACAGGAGCGCGGTGCTCGAACTTCTGCAATAGCTTTCCCTCTCCAAATTTTCCGTTCTCATCCCGCAAGTCATATAGATATGCGTTCTTATCCCATGAGGAAACCACGAGTCGCGCGGAGTTGGGGTCTGGGGAGAACTTCAAGGCCGAGATAGCATCCGTAGGTGGGGAAGCCAAAGTGAATTGATCTGCAACAAGAAATTAGACATGGTTCAAATCAAAAAGCAACGCCGAGAACTACTCACGAGAAGTCATCTTGGGCGAGCTGCGGAGTTGCAGAAGATCAACACCCAAGCTCCCCGGGGCCCTTAACCGTCTTCTTTTCTGCCATCGTCACCGCCCTTTGATTCCCCGCTCTACATCGATAAGGAAAAAAGAACGTCCTGACATCATTTGCTTTTAGCACAAACACAATTCCTCACATCTTCGTGATATTGACAAGATGCCTTTTGCCCAGCTGGTGATTGGTCCGCCGGGCGCAGGCAAGTCCACATACTGCAATGGTATGCATCAGTTCCTGGGCGCAATCGGCCGAAAATGCTCTGTCGTCAATCTTGACCCCGCCAACGACAAGACTTCATATCCATGCGCGCTGGACGTACGTGATCTAGTCAGGCTAGAGGATATCATGGAAGAGGACAAGTTAGGCCCGAACGGTGGTGTCTTATATGCTCTTGAAGAGCTCGAAAACAACTTCGACTGGCTGGAAAACGGGCTGAAGGAGCTTGGTGGTATGTCTGACATGTCCTGGCTGCATACATTTACTGACTGGTTTGATGAATTCTCAGAGGATTATATTCTTTTCGACTGTCCTGGTCAAGTTGAGCTATTTACACATCATACCTCATTACGCAACATCTTCTACAAAATCCAGAAGATGGGCATCCGGGTTAGTGGCAGCAGATATTCAAACGGAACACAAAGGAAAGTCAGTTAATCAGATTCCCCATAACAGCTTATCGTCGTCCACCTCGTCGACTCCTACGCCCTTACCCTCCCCTCAATGTACATATCCGCCCTCCTCCTCTCCCTCCGCGCCATGCTCCAACTCGACCTCCCACACATAAATGTCCTCACCAAAATCGACAACCTTGCCAACTACGCTCCACTCCCTTTCAACTTAGACTACTATACCGAAGTACAAGACCTGTCCTACCTACTCCCAGAACTGGAAAGCGAGTCCTCACGACTCTCACACGAGAAATTCGGCAAATTGAACCAGACCATCATCGACCTGGTCGAGGAATTCGGACTCGTTGCCTTCGAGACGCTGGCCGTCGAAGATAAAAAGAGTATGATGAGTCTCTTGCGCGCTATTGACCGTGCATCCGGGTATGCCTTTGGGCCCGCCGAGGGCGCCAACGATACTGTCTGGCAAGTGGCTGTTCGGGAGGGCATGGGTGTCACGGACGTGCGTGATGTGCAGGAGCGTTGGATAGATGCAAAGGATGAATATGATCGGCAGGAGGAGATGGATTTAGAGGAGGAGGTTCGTGTGCGCAATGCGGCGAGCCAGGTCGAAGCGACGGGTGCCGTGGATGGCGGACCCGACGAAGATGACGGCCATGACTACGACGAGGAGTTGGAGAAGTGGAAAAAGGATATGCCAGACAGTGGCGTGCGGGTGCACCGCAAGTAATCATCCTTCTCCGATGACTTCCCAGCTGTTTTAAACGTCAGATACGATATGATAAATGTATAATAGCCGAAAATAACCATGCATAATTTAACGCACCAAAAACCGGGGTATCTCATTGAAAGAAAATAAATGTACAGTTAAACTCATCCTCATACAATCTCAATCATCCATCCCCTCATCCTCACTCTCGTCCATCACACAGTCAACGACATCAGACCCACCAACCAACCCCCCAAGAACCCCCCTCTCCTCCGCCTCTTTAACCCTAACAATCTCCCGCCTAGCCCTCCGAATAGCCTCCTCCTCCGCCTTGCGCATCGTCCCCGAAACCCGAACCACGCGGAACACACACCCACGCTCGCGTCCCGTCCCCGCGCGTTTCTGACCATTCGCCGGCTCCGGCACGCCGGACATGTACGTAAGCGCCGACCAGACGAGGCGGAAGGAGGCGCGCGGGCACCGTACTATAGCGGTGGATGTTGCTGGCGAGAGGTATTTTACTATAGGGTGTGGTTAGCGGTTGGTCCTGTAGATGGGGGAGTTGGCTGTGGGGGCTTAGGAAATGGAAACTTACTCGTTATTCCGCCAGCAGAGGCGCCGCCTAGCTTTCCGATCCCCCAGTCGCCGTATAGCTCTGCGACGGACTCGCGGATCATTTTCGCTAGGAAGCCTTGGGTTAGGGCGTCGGAGGTTGGGGAGTGGATTGCTAGTTGGGGGATGTGTGGTTTTGATGTTGGGGTTGCCGGCCAGGTTTTTGGGTCTGGATAGAGGATGTCCACGAGCAGGTAGCGGTTTTTGAGGCGGACCATGGTGGTGTTGGTGTGGGTGTATTAGTTGCTGAGTACATTTATTCAAGGTGGATTAATCTTGAAGCCGTGACCAAAAGTCCACTAAGCCTAATTAGGATGGATAGATATCCATGGATATACTCCGTACAAATATCCACGTCAACTCTTCTCATGAACTCTTCTCCTCTTCAAAACTCACCTACCTTTTTCATCATGGCTGTTTACACCCGATCATCCCCTCTTGTTCAACAAATACAGCAAAGTTCTCCATGGGTAGACATCTACACCGATTCTGCTACTAGCCCTCTCCGTGTCCGATCGGTGACGCATAATATCAGTTCTGTCTCACATACACACCCAGAGCCTAGAAGATGGCAGAACCCAGGCGGCTGGGGGGCAAGACATATGAATGACACAGCTCCTTTTACTTTGTGGGACGACACTGACCGGAAATATCGTTTGCCAACTAAAGAAGAATTCCAGTGGATTAGCAAGAAATTTGGCAACGGCAAGATCTCTCTATCCGGTTGGTTTATATGCATCGAGACCGATAACCCGCCGAAGCCGGTTCCTCTTACACTAGGATGCATGCCGGTGATGTTTGTCAGAGTCAATCAAAGCTTTCTTGAGCCTTTGCCCAAAGCACCTTATCCTAATCCACGATTACCGGACCCTTGTCCCGATCTGCGCTGGCCACCAATGGAATTTCCAACGGATGCAGATAATAACACCGTTCTCGAAGCACTGGAGCCGCTGGCCCATGTACGTGCCGTCATTTATCTGCCTTCATGGATTATCATTGAGCTTGAGTATGGAGATTCCCGAGTTTATGAACCCAAGTCCCTTCCAGGGATTGTTGCTGGACGCACAGCTCTTTATCACCATGCAGAGGCTCCCCTCTATAATCAAATGAAGAATCTTACCCGAGGCCAACAGCTTGATCCAGCTGAATCTCAGACTAGCTTGAGATCGTTACCGCAAGACACTCACAATTACCTTCAGCACTCATTTCTTTCTCCTGGATGCAGAATTGAATCTGGCTATAGCCTATCAGACTCCGGCTATGAGTCAACGACCCGTGCTTCGTCTGCTGGAGTAAAACTCCGCAATTCGAGGGGAGAAGAGGCCCTCAGTATCGCTTACCACGGCTTCCCCATTTCCTCGGAGGTTTATCATCCAGATACTCACCAGGAAAGAATCGGAGATGTGATCAATATACGACCTGAACTAGATGTGGCTCTCGTTAAACTGACCCCTACCGCTTCCACAAAGTTCAAGAACACCTGCTATTTTCAAGCAGAACCCCCTAAGACGTTGTTAGAAGGAAAAGATATTAGGGCAGGGTCATGGGCCGAGGTTGATGGCATGAGTTCAGGCTTACTGAGCTTGCTGTCATATGGAATGATGAAGGAGAAACCCGTGCGTCCGCCTGGCTCTCCAAAAATTCCGTTCGCACAGTGGCGGTCATTCAATCTCCAGGCATCTTGGGGAGTTGTGAACGAAGTGATCGCTAACGGTATCTGCGGCGCACCCATTGTTCGCTGTGATAACGGCGGGGTGACCGGCTTCTTCCATCGCTTTGATGGAATGAACTGTCTCAGTGCCACTCTGGATGATTTGGTAGCTGAAGGATGGCAAATTGCCTGAATGGCCAGAGCGCTGATGATTAGAAGCACTGATGCTCATATTCTTAGTATCTATGTAGCTAAGCCCAATATAATATTTAATCTAGCGATGTATAATGCTATGTAACTCGTGGAGAGGAAGCTATACAATGTATTGTACTAGACTGACATGCTCGACTGGCTCTCCACGCCATCTAAGTACCTTTCTAGTTGCCTATTTATATTAATGAGAACAGTAGTCTTTTGATACTCTTTTTATGTCTTTTTGCCATGGCTGAGAATTGCGGCGGAAGATATGTTGTTCGTAGTTAACGAATACTATAGACTACGCAGAAAACATCTATGCGGCAATGGCACGTTCATTATTTCCCAAATAGGTCTAGTCATCTACTGCAAACGAATTAAATCAGATCCATAGCCGGGTTGCACCCTTCTTGAGTGTCAACCTGTCAACTTGGTCATGCCACATGAACGCAGGTACATCGATACACATAACTGCTCAGAAAACATAAGAAAAGAAAAATCAAGGGATGAACCATCCAAACTCCACCGTCCTGAACGGACGGACTATATGCCAGCGGACGGCGCTGCAAACATCATAAACAAAATCACAGGTTGACCTCGACACGGCCCTCGGCACCGCCCTTCTGCAGTGTGGGGAGGAGGTAGGTGATGTCATCCCAAGGGTGGCGGTAGAGACCGGTGCGCAGGCGCTTCTGATCGAGGTAGTGGGCAATGAGACCGATGGAGCGGCCGAGCACGAACAGACCGTTGAGGACACCCATGCGCATGTAGTCCTCACACTCCTCGGGGGAGAAGGCACCGCAGTTGCGGAGGAGGTCAACGAAGCAGACAGCGACACAGCCGTCGACGTTAAGGATCAAGTTGTCCTTCTTAGAGGTGGTGACAGTCTCCACGGCGATAGCGTAGTCGAGCAGCTTGGTGCTGGGGAAGTGCTTCTTGACAAACTCCTTGACGAGCTCGACACGTAGATCGGGGTTATTGCGAGACTTGACCTTGTGGCCAATACCGGGGATAAGCTTGTTCTCCTTGCGCATGGTGTCGACGAAGTCACGGGGGCTCAGGCCCTTGTCAAAGGCCTTGGTGAACTCCTCAGCGGCGCCATCCAGGGCACCACCGAAACGCGATCCGATGGTCAGCAGACCGGAAACGAGAGCACTGATAAGATCCTTCCCAGCACGG